CAGATTTGTGTCCTCAAATGTTCTTTGGAGTGGGATCATCCATTGGAGGCTAGTTAACCTACCAAGTGTCAAACCCTGGAAAGAGACCGAATCTCCGGTAACCAGAAGCCATGAGTTGTCAATGCTGAGATTTTGTCTGAGAGTTTGTCCTACTTGAACTTACATGGGACTTGCGCATACTGTCACCATTGATGTGAGTTCATGTGATTAACAACCCAACTGTCTGGAAAACTCTGTTTCCTTGTGGTCATCCATCATGTCTGGCTCTTAGAATCTTTCTGTCCCTCTTCTGCAATGATCCCTGAGGATTAGAGGAAGCTGGTGTGATATACATGTCCCATTTAGAGCTGAGCACATATTCTATGCGTACTGCCCAGTTGAGGATCTCTGTATTAATCACCATCTACCGCAAAGAGAAGCCTCTCTGATGAGGGTTGAGGGATGCATTACTCTATGGGTATAAAGACAAGAACTTCGGGAGAAGTTTCAGACTAAGTCTATCAGAACAATAGTACCAGGTTCTCTCCAGGGGCCAATGGACTAACCAGTCACGGGGTTTTGGCCCAGTTAATGACATAGGATATGAGTTCCATCTTGTGGAACAGGCCTTCTATCCAATCAGAAAGTGGTTCATTGCTTCCATAGCGTTCAAGGCACTATAGCACGAGGCAAATCTTGCCAGACCAATCATTATCGTAGTTCACAGTTGTGTAAGACTATTGATCACTTGTCTCCTCTGGTAGCATGTATAGCACCTTATAGCACTATGACAGCTATCCAGTAGGGATGAAACTTCCATGTCCCAAGTTCCAAGATTGATTTCTCCATGTTCTATGATTCAAGTATGTAGTGTTTTCAGCAATAGGGTTACCTTTAAGTTCTGGAAGGTATACTAAAGGGTTTAACTGATGTAATAGCAATAACCTGTGCTGTTGGGGGTAAATCTATGTGCTCCCCCATTGACCAACATCTTGAGAAGACATAACCCATACCTGACATTATTATTTTTACTTGATAGCCTATGGTGTCTGGGAGAGGTATTGTGCCCCTGCCCCCGTTATGGGGTAATTCCATTTAAATTCTATTTGTATGTATATGTATGCATTTTAAGGAAGCGTCTACAATAATTTCCCCTTATGGCATTTTCAATGGTCTTTAATGTTAAATATCGCTCCCCATACTCCCTCCTGTACCCTGTCCTCCTCTCCCCAACCACATTTAACCCTTCCTGTTCTTTATCTCCCTTCATACCACCTGTGTTCTCTCTTCCTTTGTATTGCCCATAGCCTCTTTTAACATTGTTTCCAGAAGTTGCAGGCATGGTGACATGCATTTGAGTTCCTGCTCTGACTTCCCTCAATGATCTATTTTCATTTGGAACTTTAAGGTGCATAAAAACCTTTTTCCTCCCCAAGTTTCTTTTGGTTAGAGTGTTTTGTCACAGCAATAGAAAGCACACTAGAATACTACTATAATCAGTGAGTCACAGTTTCCAGAGGAAGACCCTCTTTCAATAATAATAATAATAATAATAATAATAATAATAGGGGCTAGAGATATGGCTCAGATAAGAGCACTGGCTGCTCTTGCAGAGGACCTGGGTTTGGGTCCCAGAAGCCACATGGTAGCTAACAACATCTGTAACTCCAGTTCCAGGAGATCTGAGGCCCTCTTCTGACTTCGGCAGGCATTGCATGACATAGGTGCACTTACATACATGCACGCAATTCATTCAAGCACATAAAATAAAAATAAGAAATAAAATATTTAAGAATTTCTTTGGGTGAAAGAAATTACAACTACAACACTTTAGAAAGCACATTTGGACCATGCAGTGTTGCGCATCATCGTACAGGAGTAAGCATGCCCTGTCCTTGCCATCCTAAGTCCTCTACGCATCTATGTGACACAGACACACAAGAAAATTTTCCTTCCAAAGGATATTCCAGGAAAAACCTTTCTGAAAAGACAGCAGGCTTTCTCCGGTACATTTGCTGCATTATGTAAATAGTCATTCCTTTTTATTATGGCCACAGGATGCAACGTGAAGTCCAGAGGATGCTCAGGCCACACCTGGACGAAGTGAACATCTTCATCGCCACTAATGGCTCTAGACAGAGCTTCACTTTCCATTCACACACTTATGCTGACTCCAGTGTTCAGTGATGATAAATGCAGAAACAAATTTTCCATGTGTATTTTGATACATATTGATACAGAAGAGCATGTTCCCTAAAGCAACTTCTGCATAATGCCCAGACCAGACCAAAAAAGCCCATAAACATTTTTTACTATGAAAGAAGAAAGCAAGTTTTACATTTTACTATCGAGGAAGAAAATAAAGCCACATTGCAGATTATTTATTGGTAAATTTATAATCTGTCACTTTGGAATATACTTTTCTGTTCTTTTCAAACTTTCTCAGTTTTACTTAATAGGGATTATAATAAACTGATCAGGTAATGAAAATGTAATTATTCAGAGAGCAATCCCAAAGGAAGCTCAAGAACTTCAGCAAAGCACTGAATGATATGGAGAAATTTCAGGTCTTGGGAATAGAAAGAACTGACCAGCCTGGTCAGATCCCATAAAATACTACAGTTAGCAGGCATTGTGGCACGTCCCTTTACTCCCAGCACTTGGAGACAGAGACAGGCAGATCTCCCTGAGATTGAAGCTGGCCTGGTTTACAGAGCGAGTTCCAGGCCAGCTGGGGCTAGAGACAGACACTGTCTCAAAAAATCAAAATAAAATAACATACTAGTGTTAGCAAATTTCCCCTCCCATGCTCAGTAAGGTTTATCCAATATCAACTATATTCATTTTTTCACATTTGACTTAAACTGTTTCACTTCACCACACTTTGCAGAACACACTGCAAGACGTGCCGATTAAACTTCAGGAAAATAATTCTGTCAGGAAAATGATTCTGAACTGTTCATACTTCATGCTCAGTTACAAATGAAACTGAAAGGAGCCCCGCAGCCACCACCCTTGAGCACTTAGTACTTTCTAACAAGTACACCTGCCAATACCCTCTGTCCGCTGGAGCCCCATGCTCACCCACACTCCCACAACTCCCACACTTCCCAGGCATAGAGATGTCAGTTGAGAGAGGGTCTTCTTTGTGCACAGCACTCCCGCAGGTGCCTCTTCAGACCTTCCTAAAG